AGAGTGTCAGAAAGTAGTATAGCATCAGCTACAGCATGGACAGCAGCAATCTCTGCGGGAGCTGAAGCAAAGAAAGGTCCACTGAAGAGTTCTGGAAGGAAACTGAGTTTAAAAATATGTTTTTATATAATGATTAAAAGTGACTGTTTCACCTGGTTGAAGGATACTGTGCAAAGAATTATTTTTTCTCTATAATGAGGAGCTGAGATTAGGTGGTCCAGGTAACAAGTACTGGGACAAACCATATATACCCTTCGAGAGACTGCCCCGGCAGAAGACTGCTGACATGTGATAGCTGCTCAGTGCCCAGCGTGGCATGAGCTCCTGGTTACAGTCTATTTCTGGCCCTCTGTGAATGTTTACAAGTACTGGTATCACCGTGGCATCTGAATGCCAGGCACAGTTTAAAGCACACTAAGAATGGCCAGGGAACAGCCAGTCCAGTTCTCTGCCCTGCCTCGCTTCAGGAGTAACGCGAGCTCAGGTTACCGGGGCCAGTGCATCCAAATATATTCGTATGAAGCACTCCACTGTACATGTGATTGTCCCAGAAGAGCCTTGAGGCACTGCTGTGGCCCGAACTCTGTATGCGATGAAGATTTAAAAAAATCTAAAATACAGGAAAAAAAGGCCTCCAACAACTTCATCTTATGAAGCAAACAGAGCTCACAGACCAGGAAGATGGTTTTATCAGTTGATAAAACCATCTTTAGGCTGTTCCTCCTATATATGTACCCAACACACCTAAGCTCCGTGAGAACGTGTCTCCACTGGTGCTTTTTCCCCACAGGACAAAGTCCAGGAGCTTACCCAGGGTAACTTCATATTCATTCTTTATAGCTGACAGCAAGGGCTTGTAGGTCTTGAAGCCGTCTATGAGGAATTCAAAGATCTCTCTGTAAGGCTGAGAGAAGAAAGAGAGCTTGAGGAAACATTCAGTGGCACGTGTTTCAGAAATCAGAGATAGCTGTTTTGTCCGACGCGAATAGCATCTAGTGACAGTGAGATTATGTATAAAAGTACTGCTACCACATTTTATTTTGTCTCTGCATCTCGCCATCCCAAATACATCATGGGAAGGGGGAGTTCTCTCCCCTGTTGATGGGCACCACAACATGACAGAGAGCAAACAAAGATTTTAGCAGCCAAGGAGAAGCTTTGGGCAAGTCTGTTAGGGCACAGCTCCAAAATATGATACTGTTCAGATGGAGCTGACTAGAACTCAAGGACATAACAACACGGATGTTAAAGATAACGTAACAAGATCACGTTGCTGCTCTTGTTGCCTGTTTTGTTAAGTTAAATGGCAAGCTCTGCAGATGTCCTTCTCAGCTGAACAAAACTTGCTCAGAGGGGTGAATCAAACTCCTCCTGTGTAGCTGGGCCATGGAAAGACTTCACTAGCGCTACGGAATGTTCTCACTGAGTGTACCTCATTATTAAATACAACTGAACATGCCACGTAAGACCGTAAAAAGATTTTCAAAGCAGAAACACATTTATGAAACCTCTCTTTTCTCTTGCCATTAGTAAAACTGTTTCCTTCCAGTCTCCTCCATCCACCACTTTTTTCCCCCATTACTACAGGATTCCTTTGGGAACGAGAATTTGAATTAATTTGTGCAGAGAAAATGGAATCCAAACTTCCCACGGTCTGCATCAATGCTCTAATTGCAGGATATTACAGAAACAGGAGTACCCACCCCTGCCCTAACAGTGCTTTGAATTAAAGTGGTGGTTCTCAACATGCCCATGAGCTGTGTCCTCAAAACACTCACAACAAACCCCCCAGGATCAGACCCATTAGAAACTGCGAATTTTGGCGATCCTGATTAGGCTCAGGCCAGAGCCCTTCTTGTTACATACAGAAACCTAGCCATAAATGAGCAGTTTTGCAGTGGAAATTTGGGAACCTACACGCTTGCTGCTTAATGGGTTTACACAGGAATCTTCAGTTCAGTGACTAAATTCTGTTCCACATCCCTTTTAGATTGCTGTGTCTTTTTGAAGAGTTGGGCTTTGAAAATGGAAGCGGTTATAGAAGGCACGGGGTACACAAGAAGATGTGAACAACCCAACACGCAAACAACAACCCGACACGTAAACAAAGAGCTTCCTGTGCAAGTTCTCCAACATGAGCTGCAAACCCGCTTATCCCACACTACCCATGGGCACCTACTCTTCTCATCTACTTTTCCTTTGGATGGCCAATTTAAGCAATCCGTCCCAGCACGCAGTTTCAAGTCAAGAGAACCTGGTGTCAGACCTGTAACTTCAGTTCTTGAGAGTTCTTTTTAGTCAGATCAAGAGACTGCAGCTCCTTCCTTAAGTAGGACTCCAGTTGCTCCAAGTATCGTGGCTTTGGAATGGTGAGAAGAGCCTGTTTATTGCTGCAGAGACACAGGAAAAGAAAGGATGCGTGGACTTGCCTCTGTCATATACATATAAATGAACTCACAACGAATCAGCTCAAGGATCTTGGTTTTCTTCCTACTGCCTGCTGCTTCACAGCAGGACTTTGGGTTTTTTACTGTAGTTCATATATATTCTCTCCAACAACACAATGGATGACTTAAAATTCCTTGATGGAGCAGGAATCTATTCAAGACATTCTGCTATTACTACTCTCAAGAACTTCATAATGCTTTTTGGTATAAAAAGCCATGTGACTGGGTTCTCTGTGTCAGAAAAGAATGAATACTAATTATATTATTTGAAATGGGTCACGAAAACCAACCATTTGAAAGAAAGAACTCATAACATAGAACATCTCCTGAGGTTCTAGGTTCCTCGAGAGGTTCTAGGCCAAATGTCCCTTTGCTGGATGTTATAATCCATTTTTCATATTAAATCCAGCCAGAATTAAAACTAAAAAGCCCAAGTATCTCATTACATCATCCACAACTGCGTCCTGCAGTCTGTCAGAGTCCTGAGTGCCCCAACAGGCTCTGCAACCTCTTCCCCAGCCCCTGGGGGTTTGGGTGCCTGTGTTCAGGGGGAGCTGGGACGCCGCAGGGTGACAGCGAGGAAACGTGCACCCACAGGGCTTGAGGGAGAATGGCAGATCAGGTCCCTTGCTGGTAGCCAGGGCCATCCGTAGGTCAGTGATGGTCAGGCAAGCCCACAACGATGAGGAAGGTGTGATGACGAGCTGGGATGTCAAGTCAGCAGCTGGGGTCAGTGAGGTGCAAGACAGATGTGGCTACAGCGTAGCTCCAGCAAGACACCAAGGTGAGTGAGCCTGAGGGAAGGCTTCTCCCATCTTTCTCACACAGTGCCCGTTACAGTGCCTGGTCGTAGGTTACCCAGCAATCAGAGCCGCTCTTGAGCACAGGCACCCAGACACCTGGGACTGGGGAAGAGCCTGCAGAGCCTGTTGGTGCACGGGGAGCCCTGACAGGATCCTACGTCATGTCGGTCAATGAATCGTTAAATGCCAGCATTTTATGGCAATGTGTATATTGGGCGTGACTCACTATTATGTAAATACTTGTCATCTCCTGTATTGCTACAAGTCAGAGCCAGCGTCTTGCTGTGGTGCTGAACTCGTGGGGTAACCCAGCATCATTGTTCTCACTAACACTGGCAGAGGTTCTGCTCTGTAAGGTCTGAGTTTTCAAAAACTGCCTCCAGCAGTGCTGGTGACCTGACCAGTGCAGGCTGAGCTTACCTAGCCTGGCGCTCCTCTGGGGCGCAGCAGGGTTTGTGGTTCTTGGGGACCGTCTGCCCGGATGCAGATGCAGGCCATGTGGACCAGTGGCCTCGAGCTGAATGCTAAAAAGATTGGAAGGAAAAAAAAAAATCTGCAGTATCCGAGCACTGCAAAAGCAGCGCAAAGAGCCCAAATCCAGAATCAATACAGCTGCTTATGACTACAGTCAAGTAGAAAGACATGGGCCGTACCCTGAAACTCTTTTCAGCCAGGCCTGACCACACCTACAAAACGAGTAAACATTTCTTGTTCTTTGAAGAAATCCCCTCCCCAGACCAGCACTATTTGTTAAACACCTCTGAACAACCCGGTCGCTGTTGGTCATGCTGCCTAGATTACATGACTGTGGGAAAGCGTTCACATCTTTGGGTGAAAAATGGTCTCTTGGTCTACACTGGGACCGCTGGAAAATAAAGCATCACAAAACAAATCAGATTTTTGCATTAATCCAGATGACACACAAAATGACCGGTTTGACTTTGCTCTTGTTTGCACCAGGCAGTTTTGCCCTGGGGTGTGTCACGCAGGAAGGACCCACTGAGCCAGGCTAACCCCTGCAGCTGATGGTCTTTAAATGCAGGTTGGTGACCCTGCCCAAACCAGCTGAATTTGTGTCAGTGTAGACAATGAAGATAAGGCCTGAGAAACAGATTTAGGTCTGAGGAACAGTAAAATACGTGATAAATGAATCTTCCTTCAGAAGCTGCAAGCTCTTCTGAAAGCCAAATCATCTTGTTAATTTTAAGAGTCTGATCTTTTCTAGCTTGGAACTTTCTCAGTGTCTCTTTGGGGGGCAAAAAAGCCAGCTATGCTGGATTGCTCTACTTCATTATCCCAACCAAATAATTAGTATGTGATTGTCCAATACAGATCCCTCCCTATTCTGTCCGTAAAAGTTACAAAACACTAATCATGGCCAAACGGGAAGATATGACTTTCCAACCCCAAATTTCAGACTGGCCAAGCCTTGAAACAGTTAAATGTAAAGCCTCAGAAGTTTAAATGCCCTAATTTCAGTGCAAGAAGCAGGAAAATTACATTGAAGTAATAGTAGATTCCAATTTATTGATAGTCAAAAATGTTTTCTGCGATGAGGAAAGTGCTCACTGAATATCCCAGCTCCAGGGCCAAAATAACACTTTAAGTTTTTGCACTCATGTAGCACATACAGCTTGTCATAGAAATGGCACATTCCTGAAATACAGTCAAGATGCTAATAAAAAAAAACCCCAAACCAAAATAAACAGCATGACTTTTATAGACCTTAACCTCCCATTAGTTTGTTGGAAGACATGTTCCTGGAATATATTTTCTCATAATTTGGGTATAGGTTTTCCCCGTGCTTGTTTATTTTATTTACTAAGACTGGTAAATACAAGGGAGCAGATGTTCCTGTAGGATGATTTTATCCTATGATTAAACAGCATGTGGTCACGTGGTTTCTGGGGTTTTTTTAAATATGTGGGTCAAATTCTGGCTTCAGTATTTGGCATGTATGTCCACTCAAAATGTTGCAGCCAAGAACAATATTTATATCCCTCTCCTCTTTCCTCCACCCTTAAAAATGCAGTACTTAATTCACAAAGATTACATCTGAATTTGAAATTCTAGTTAGCAGCACCATAAAGATTTTCTGTCTCTATATATTAAAGAAAGATGAAAATGATCAGAACTTGCTTGACTTCCTAATAGTTTGGGATGGTGCCTGGGGTTCCGGCAAGATTCAAATTTAGCTAAGGTTTGGATGTTTCACTGGAATTCTTCAGCTCACCGGAGTCTTCTGTTTCTTGGACAGGATGTGTTTCAGACGGTTGATAGGTTCTTGGCAATCCGCAGCCTCAGAGGAAGATTCAGGAGCAGTCCTGTGCAATGGCAAGAAAGAAACTTCTCAAAACCTACAGATTTAGTTAAATATACAGTGGAGCTTGAGTCTGGCTCATGTGTGCCTAAGGTAAACAGTCAGTTAGGAAGTGCCTGGTGGATTAAAAGATCCAATGGGATAACGTACAGGGAAGGACTGATGGAAACATTTGTGGTGCAGCTGAACTCCAGAGCTGCGATTTGGTAGCTGGCACAACGTTCGGTACCTTCCCCACTGTCCCAGTAGGTGCAACCAGGCTGAACCCTGCAGCTGGGCGAGACGGAATGAATTGGGGCTTCTGAGGTGGAGAGATTAGAAGCAGAGTTAGAAAACCTGTTAGCCATGGGTCAAGAATGGGGAATTGGGGTCCCAAAAGTGCCTGCAAAGCCAGTTCTCCAGGGCGGCAGAAGGCCCATGGCACAGATGGCCTGACAGCCAGTAGAACCAGCAAAACACGGAACAGATATAACCAGGACCACTCTTTCGTGGGCTAGAAACTGTCATGTACAGTTGAAAGGCCTTTTAAGAAGTAAACATAGAGTTGCATGTGTATTTGAGGGAAGATCAGGGTTGCCATGATACAGATAATACACAATACAGCAATCCAGAGTGGATTTGCAGGACTGCGCTGGCGCAACACGACCACACACTCAGCTTGATAACCCCAGCATCGGCTTCAGCTGCCAGCGTGGTTGCACACTCGCATGGCAGGAAGCTGTCACAGCTCCTGCAGGTCTAACTCTCCAACTCTCAGCTTCCCAGGGGAGGTGTGCCGAGGGTGAGCTGGACTAGCTTTCAGAGGAGCCCACCGAGGGCCAGCGTTGGGGTGGGAGATCGTATCTGGTGGGTTGTTGGATCTCCCACCATTGCGTATAAGACAGCAGCCTCAAGCTGCAGCTCTGTGAAATGTGGTGACAGCTCAGCACTGCTCCAAGGGGAGGTTCTGTTTCTCTCCCCAACACAACAAGCTCCTGATGCCTGCCTACTGTTAGCTGGACAACCCTCTGAGCTGCTTTAGTCGGCTAATCCAAGGGAAAACCTGCAGTTACCCCATTCAGACTGACCAAAAACGTAACAGGCGGGTTCATCCCCAGTGGGGGAGCAGTTCTGGAGACGGAAACCCCAAGCAGCTGGGTACCCGGGACAGACAGTCAACACCAAGCAGGATGAGTATGGCCTGTGGTTGGAACGGCAGGGTGTTTTGAAAGTCCCCAGTATGTAAGAGACCGTTCAACACATGGTAAATATATGTTTTAGAATCTGAAGGGAACTTTTCATGCATTTAAAGAAAATAAAGTTCCTAGCTATCCAGAAATGCATCTTCTTCTAATCTGCAGCTGAACTTGTGACCAGTTCGATACTGAGCAGCCTCTGCTTCCATTTGCTTTCATAAAAAGTGAGTGCACTTACTGCCCAAGAGCGCACGTCTAGGTTTTTCTTGCAGGATAGGATTTTAAGACAACGGCAGTCTTTACAGCACGCTACGAGCCAGGACAGCTTTTCACTCACCTGACCAAAGCAGGGTCTCAGCTGGCCTATGTTTGGAAACTGAAAGGTGCCTGTTCCCAGGCAACCGCAATAAGTGAAAAAAGAAGTGCCTACGACTTTTCCCCACAGGCAAAAATGATTGTTACTAGGACTGTGGTACAGAGAGCTGGGATTTGGAACCGTTGGCTTTTTCAGCATTGTGAAAGCTAGCAAAATGGGAGCAAGGAAAACGTGCTTGTTTGATGAAAGATAGTTCCCAGGAGTGCAAAACATACGACTTCAGTATAACCAAAGTTGCTTTTACTCTATGTAAATGTGAATGGATGTAGACATGGCTGTCCATATGGGAGCTTTCCAGCAGAAAAGGCAGGGATAGCATGCTTCTAGGCTACCTGCACTATGGAAGCCTGAGATCTGAGGATAAAAATCTGTGGGTATACATTAGGCATTCACTGTGCTTGAGGAAGGCTCAAAAGTATGCATAGCCACGAATACTCCAGAATTTTCCTTTTCAGGCAGCCCATGCAATCATCAAGAGCCTCCAGTGGGCCATAATTACCCTGACCAGCCCCAGCCAAGACCCTCAACTCTGCACTCTCTTGCCAGTTGGTCCAGGAGCTCCATGTGAGCTCAGGCCAGGGCCTTCACACCCGGCCCGAGCTGCTTTGTAGCTGTAACCATCTTCAACCCTGTTTCCTGGACGTGCCTTAGACCTACACCGTAGCCTTGTCTTCTCTTGTGTCTCTGAGCTGCTCATCCTGGACCCGATCCATCACTTGGCCTCATTTAGGACTAAGGTAAGTGCTGTTGTCTTGCGGGTGCAGTTGGGGAGGGCCTTGCCTCCTTCAGCAGCTATCTCACCCTCCCTTGGGGAGCAGCCTTGAGCTCTTGGAAGGCGGGCGAAGCCCCGTGTGCTAGAAGACATCATCCCCTTCCAGGGAAGGAAAGGAAAGGAAAGGTGACCTCTCCGCGTTTATAACCATTCAGACCAACAGGAACGAGGTATCTAAGCAGAAACAGATGCTTTGATAAAGGAATGGTGCGGAAAACAACTGTCAGGGAGAGGCACTGCTTTCCAAACTATAAACTTAACTACGCTCATCTATAAACAGCTGGCGATAAACAGTAACAATTGCAGGTAAATACCACAGGAATCGCTCAACAGTTCCTCGCTCTGCTTTGAGGGCGTGTGGCCCTTCTACAGAAATGCCACGTCCTGAAACCCCGAGAGCAGTTCTAGAAAGCCTTCCCCACTGCTTATTTACACTCCCGGACAGGCTGCTGTGCTGACCGTGTCCTGCCGCCCCCTCCCTGGCCTGACGCCGGCGCTCGGCGGGCGGGGCGGGGGCGAG